GATATATAATTACAAATAAACAAGTCTACATCTGGAGGAAAAGATTTTCAAAGCTGAGCTCATTTTGGTTTGAAGCTTCGAGCAGTGCACATAGATCTAACGAGGAGAAAATCGGAAAAGTGATTCTTTTCTTAGTGAATAAATTGTTAGATGAAAGCTATTTTGGTAAATATCATCTTGTCAGTTAGTAATAACAATTAGAAATTTTCAACCCATGCATTTATTCATATTTTTATTAGAACAATGGCAAAGCGTCCAACCACGAATGAGTCTCATGACACAAGTAGTAGTGAAGATGAGCTCCAGATAGACCTCTATACAGACACGTTAGAAAGACTTAACTGTAGAACAAAATGACAGCAGTGATAGTGATATTGTTTACGCATATTGGGGAGTGTTAAAAAACTTATCATACAGTACAAAATTATAAACAATAAAATATTGGTTTTTTTGCAAATATACATTCCTCGATGTCACCCAATTCATATAAGTCCAATATCATTATAATACGTTACTTGGTTCCAAAATTATACTAAATAATATGAGGGTCTGTAAATGCACGTTTCCGCCACAAAGTAGCGTCGAGTAGCTGGTAGCCAATGTCCAGAATGGTTCGGAGTGCAAAGGGTTAAGTATTGAGATTTTATATATATATATATATATATATATATAATATATATTTATATACACACACACAAATATACATGAATTTATTCTGGACTTCCGATTCTGTTCCATTGATCCTGTGTATATTTTTATGCCAGCACCATATTGTTTCAATTACTGTTGCTTTAGCATATACTTTAAGGGTGATAGGTTTTCTCCATTTTTCTTTCCTTCTAGGGTAACTTTAAAAGCAAAATAAAACCTTTTATGGTGCATTATGAATTTTAAGGTATCTTTTTCAATTTTTAAAAGAATATTTTTGGGTTATTAATGGGGATGTGTTAAATTTATGTACTGCTTTTGATAGTCATTTCAACTATATTAATTCTCCCCATTCAGGAGTATGGAATATCTTTCCATTTCCTTATGTCATGAAGTTTTAAGTCTGGTAGTTTTCATTGAGTAAGTCCTTCACCTTATTCCAAGTATTTGGTTCTTTTTGATGTGACTGTGAATGAATTTATCTTAATTTCTTTTTCTTCTCATTCATGATTGATATATAAAAATGCAATACATTTTATATGCTGATTTTGTAACCTGTCATTTTACTCTATTCATTTATTCTAATAGCTTTTTGGTGAAAACTTTAGGGCTTTTTATATGTAGTATCGTATCACCTGCAAATATGGGTAGCTTCATCTCTTCTTTTCCAACCTGGATTCTTTTCATTTCCTGTTTTGACTGTTCTAGCTGAAACCTCTACCATATTAAACTAAGGTGGTGGTGACAGTGCATATCCTTTTCTTGTCCCTGATCTTAAAGGAAAAGCTTTGAGTTTCTTACCATTCAGTATTATACCAATTGTGGTTTTGTGATATATTGCCTCTATATGTTGAGGTAGATGCCTTCTGTTCTGTCTTGTTTGGACTTTTTAATCATAAATGGGTGCTGAATCTTATTAAATACTTTCTTTGCATCTATTGATATTCAATGATTTTTATCTTTTGTTGATGTGTTACATTGGCATGTTTATCAACTATTCTTACATTCCTGGGATAAATCCCACTTGATCATAATGTATAATCCCTGAAATGTAGTGTTCAATTCGATTTGCTAGTGTTTTATTGAAAAAATGTCACCTCAATATTCATCAGGGATATTGGGCTGTAATTTTCTCGTGCTGATTTTATCTAGCATTGGTATTAGGATAATTTTGACATTATTAAGTGTGTTAGGGAGCATTCTCTTGGATTTTTAGCAATATTTAAACAGAAGGGACACACAGTCTTTAAATATTTGATAGAACTGTATGAGCTTTTGTTTGGGAAAGATTTTTGATCACTGTTTTAATTTCTGATTGTGTTAGGTTGATTCAACTTTTCTATTTCTTTCTGACTTAGCCTTGGTAAACTATCTTATTCTAGAAATTTGTCGATTTCTTTAAGGCTATTAAATTTCTTATTGTACAGCTGTTCACAGTGATTTGTTATGGTCTTCTACATATCTATAATATCTGTGGTAATTTCTCCTCTCTCATTTCTAATAAGATTCTCTCTCTCTCTCTCTCTCTTTCTCTCTCTCCCCGCCCCTCCCTCCCCCTCTCATTAATAACCCCTTTAGTACTTCTTTCATGTCTGGCATAGCATGAGTTTATTTTTAACTTTTGCTTTTCAGTGAAGTTCCTTACTCCTGTCTTGAATGTTAACTTTAAAGGTATGATACTAATTATAATGTGTCTTAGAGTATGACATTCTGACATTACTTTGTTTGGAACTCTGGGTTTCTTGGATCAGGACATCTGCTTCATTTTCCACATCAAGATGGTTAAATAGTTCTCATAAATCCTTTAATCAAATTTTCCATGCCTGGGTCTTACTCTTCTCCTTCTGGAACCCCCACGACCCAGTTGTTATTTCTTTCTAGGTTTCCCCAAAGAGTTTATACAGAGTTCATTTTTTAAATATTTTTCTACATGTTGTTCTATTTGTGTGTTCTCTTGCCACTGTGCCTTCAAGCTTGCAGCTTCTCTCCATTACTTGCTGTTGTATACTACTGAGGGCTTTTATTGTATTTTTAAATTTGTCTACAGTATATTTAGGTATTGTAAGTCTCATATTTTCTCTATATTGTGTTGTTTTATCACCCATTGTTTTTAACTCAGCAAGCATAGGTAGAACTGTTATTTAAAGTCATCAGGTATATTCTACTTTTGCTGGATTGAGTCATCACTCAGATTTTTTCTTCCTCCAACATCTGCGGTGTTTTTCTGTCTCTTCACTTCTAGTTTCTGTGGGTTGCATCAGGGAGTTTTCTTATCTTGATACATTGGTTTTATTGGGCATAATCCCAGGTTTTCTACCCTTCTTTACATGTTTATTATTTCATAGACTGATGCCTTTGCATCTGTTCAGATTGCCAGATTACTGGTGCCAGGAAGGGGTAATATGTAGGAAGAAACGGGAACAAGGGTACAGAAAGGTTACCTCCAGTAAGCATCAAAGGTACAAGCTTCCTAGTTTTAAGTGTTGCAGGTACCCAAATTGTGTGGTGGGGTTCCACAGTGATTCCCTCCCCAAAGCCCACTCCTACTCCAAAATGTCATGAACACTCTCCTGCCACCCTTGATCTCCAGGCTGTGACTAAGCAACATGGAGTGGTATGTGGTGATGACAGTTGAGACTGGGTCACAAGTCAGTAACGGTTTTCTTTGTTTTTTTTTGATCATGGAGTCTTACCCTGGGTTCCTTGTGCATCTTGTTACCGTTTAGGTGTTTCAATCTTTGATTAACAAGAACATTCAATTACTGTCTTGGTTTGGTCCTACTGGCAGTAGGGAAGTATTTTCACATATCACAGCCAAGGTGTGCAAATAATAGCCTCTTCTATGAGGAAATGCAGGTGACCTGATCTGGCTGATCTTGCTCTTCCACCAGATCACTTTCATCTATTCTAGTTTGAGGGGGACAAGTTAAGCTGGTATTCACCACTCAGCACCCTTACTCCTATAGTTCTCCAGTGGTGAACCCTCTGTGCTGCACAAGTCTATGCACCCTTTTCTCGAGTGGAACTTCTGGCTTTTATATCCCCAATGCTGGCGTGTGTGTGTATGTGTGTGTGTGTGTGTGTGCGCGCGTGTGCGTTATCAGCAGAGAGGATCCTGATGGCAACTACCCTTTCCTCTCGTGAGTTGTATTGCCCCAGTATCACTCTAAACGGTTTAATTTTTCCTCTCCCTTTCTGTTGTGCTATTGCTCTTGATGTATTCAATAATCATTCATGTCATCAAAGGTTGAATTTGTCCGTAAACAGAGGTGAGCTGGTGTCTTCACTCTGCTGTCATCTTTCAGGCTACACGAAATTTACACTCAAATTTTAAGTGTAGGATACAATGTTAACTATGTGCACACTGTTGTGCAGATCCTCAAAAATTTTTCATAGTTCACCATTAAAACACTGAATCTACTGAATAGCAACTCCCCATTTTCCTCTCAACTGTCAGCAACAACCATCATATGAGCTTCATTTTTGTAGATACCTCATATAAGTGGAACCATGCAGTATTTGATCATCTGTGATTAGTCAATCTTACCATGATGTCCTTCAAAGATCATCGACGTGGTAGCATATAACAAGATTTCATTGGCTTAAATCTCAACCAAAAAGAGAGGCTGAACAATAAAAACACTTCAAACTCTTGGGTTGAGTCCACCAAGTCGGGCTTATAAATTAAAACACGAGGCGAAAACATCTCCCAATATAAGTAAAACCACTTTAAGTAGTACTTAAGGCCTTAGTTAACAAAATACAACGCAAAAAGATGGGGGTCATTACTGCTAATTGGTGGTTAGTGATGAATTCTCCATAATTACCGTGTTGTTGTTGTTGTTTTCCTGTATTCCCTGAGCCAAAACTCGTCCTAGAGTTTGCGGGGCTACCCCGTTTGCGATCCTAGAGACGGCAACAAATTGAATTAGCTCAGGGATACCTGTCACCTGGGAATAACCGAGGTAGCAATTCCCAGGCGACCGGTTACAACCTCCAAATCCCAAAGCTCTGCCCTGGATTCTACAGATCTCACATGTTTGGAGAGAGCAGCGTACTAACGACCACGGGACCTGAGGCCACTCGCCGAGCTCGCGTCTCCAACGCTCACCTAACGGTCCGCCCGGGAGAACCGAACACCTGGCAGGGGCGGGGCTAGAGGCGCCCCCTCCCCGGTTCCCAGCTCCGTGAGACCACCGCGCCGCAGGCCCGCAAGGGCGCCACGGGTCCCAGCCAGCACGCCCCCCGCAGGCGCGGGGACGCCGACCCGAGGCTGAATGACAAGGACGCGCCCGAGGTCAGCCCGGAGCAAGGCCGCCGGCCCACACGCCGGGAAGGGTTAACGCTCTTACCCAGCGCCGCCTCCGCCTCCCGGCGTCGCCGAGGCCCCGCCCCGTCCTGCCGCGGAGGCTCACGGGACACGTAGTACGTGGCGCGCACCTTCTCTCACCCAAGCGGCGCCTTCCCGAGCGCCCTCCCCGCTTCCTGGGGCCTGACTTCCGGTTGCTCGCACCGCCCGGACGTCGAGCTCGCGGGCAGCGGAAGTCCGCTCGCCGGCGGCGGCGGCTCGTCCTTCCCCAGGGCCCCGCCACAGAATTTCGGGTCCGCCGCGCCGTCGAGGCGCGCGACGCGCCCGGCTGCGGACTAGGCCGGCGCGGGCGGGCGGGCCCGGCCGCCGCGCGCGTGTTGTTGGGTAACCGGCCTTCGCCGGCGACCGCTCGCCCTTCCTTCCCGAACTTTCTGGGCCTCCGCTAACTGGCAGGGCCGCGCCGTTCCCGGCGTGGCCGAGGCGAAGGAAATGGGAATCCCTCCGCGCCGTCCCCGGAGCGGCTGCGGGCGCTGGGGCCGCGGCGGCGTCTTCGAGGAAACCGGAAGCCCGTGGTGACCCCTGGCGACCCGGTTTGTTTTCCGTGCGTTTGCAAACACTGGGGAACCGAAACTCGGCGGTCTGGGGGGCGGCCCTACGGAGCCCGTCTTCGGGGTGAGTCGCTTGGGCCGGTCTGGGGGTGCGGGCAGGGCTGGGACCAGCCGTCGCTGCTGTTGCTGACCCGAGGAGACGCGTCGTTTTTGCCCACAGACCCGCGCTCCCGCCGGCTGGAGGGAGGCCCACCCGGGGCGGCCTTTGCCCTGTGACCCCCGCCCCGGCCGTCCCGGCCCATGGGGGGGGCGGGGAGGCTTCACTTCTCTTCTCCCTGTTGCTCATTTTCTTCCCTCATTTACTGGGGCGCTTTCACTTTCATTCTCTGAGACGGCATTTATATCGGAAACGAAAGAGGGAACGTGTTGTTATTTCTGCTTTCTGGTTATCCGAGCAGTGGACTTCAGCCGAGCTCCTTGCGTTATCGGGTGCGAACAGCAGGTATCCTTCATTTCTCCAGTGTCTAACCTGTGTGATCTTGTGATTTTTTGATCGTTGGTCTAGTGGCTACTCTCTGCAAGGTAGGTTTAGAACCTGCAGGAACTCAAGTCAAGTACTCCAAGGGGTAGAAAAAGCTCACGAAAACTGCAAGTGGAATCTTATATGGGTGATAAAATACTCCAGGGTGTTGGAAATATGCACAAACGATCCAGGATGGCCTAGCATCGAAATGGACCCTTGCCTCAGAATCACAGAAGTTTCTTTTTCACTGTTGGAATTTTAAATTGGATTGAGCAAGATCTCGAGCCATCGTTAAGTTCCGGTTCTCAAAGCAAATCCTGTCTAGTCACCTAACTCGTGATCACTCCAGACATCTGTAAATTAGGAATGTTGCATTCCTCAGTCATTACTAAATTTTAATGTGTTTGTAAAGGGAAACTATATAGAAATGTGAAGTTTTAATATTAAAATGTTGGTACAGTATAATGGGAAAGGCATTGGATCAAGTCAGAATATTAACAATCAGTATGACTGCTGAGTTTCCACATTTTCACATAACACTGTCTAAAGAGACTAAATCTTTATTTCTCTCCTCTCAAAAATGGGAGCAATGCTTTCTCCAAGGCACCAAGTTTGCTAGCCTTAGTTGCCCCACCTGTGATATGAGGAAATTTTTGCTTACCTTAGTGTTCTTATGTAGATTTAATGTGTTGTTATGAGGAGCAAATGAGATAGCTTTTCTAAAAGGCAAAGCACACTGCCTGGCATGCCATGAAGAGTGAGTAAATATTAATTACCAACACAGAACATAGTTACAATTATGAAGTTTTTTCATAATCCAGGAAGTAACACAGCCATTGTAATGTTAAAAAAAAAATTCTTAGGGTACTTTGCATTGAAGTGCAATTGTCTTGTCACTATTAGGAAATAATTACTGATGATACCAGTAACACTTTGTGTATAAAAGGCTCCCAGTTACATTGAAATGCTTTGCTTTAGGAAAAGGAATAACAAGCACTAGACTGCTCTTCATAAGAACCATGCCAACCCTGAAGAAGCCATCCAAACTGATTTCTATACTCAGAAGGACCATAAAACAATGAACATTGAGTTTTTCATACCGTATTCTAATACTGAATACGTTTTGGGCAGTCACTAAATTATCAGGTATTGCTCTCCTGAGGCTCAGTGACAGTATCTTGGGGGGAAAAGGCACCGATGACCCTTTCTTCAAACAAGTTACATTGTGCCTGCTCTTAATTATTTTATTAAAAATAGTGAAAGAGGAGTAAATGTTGGTCTGTCGACCTCCATAAGATGTCATCCTTGCTTCATAGTATCTTGACTGATCTTATGAAATGAGTACAGTAATAGTTTTACAGAAGTAGAAAGATGATCATGAAGCAATGCAGAATTAGAGAGCCTACCAAGTATGTCTGATTCAAACCCTAGATGTCTTACATCCTACTAGTGCGATTATAGGCAGATTTTACCACACACATCTGAGCTATAAGTTTCCTCATTTATGCTGGGAGATACCTGTCTAGCCAAGTTTGGTATGGACTTCTAATAATGTATGTACTCTTACTCAGTTCCTGGCAAAAATATCAATTCCCTTTTTTCGGTTTAAGTTGCCATTGTGTTTTGAGATTAAAATTATAATCTCATAATTTAGGAAGATGGCATCCTGGTGATGTTTTCAACCTTTTCGATTTATTGATGGAAAATTTTACACACAGAGGTAAACTAATCAATAGTTAAGGTGGCACATTATAGACTAGAATACCTATTTCTGATTCTCAGGGCCATGTTCTACCAGTGAGTTCTGCCTTATCCCTATTCTTCTTGGGAAAATTAGAATTCTGTTGTCTTTAGAAGATAGAGCACAAAATACAGAAGGCAAGTTATCTGGGTTCATATTCCAACTTTGTTCATCATTACTTACACAGCTGTAGATAAGGTGTTTAATTTTTTAAGATTTTGTTTATAAATTAGTTAATGCATTGGGAAGCATTATTCACTGGCCTATGGTAATTGATCTATAACTCATAGACATTATGAAGATAAAATATGACAGCACAATCATACCTATTCCTAGAAAAATACTAACTTGATGGCAAAATATACTCCTATGTTTCCTAGTATTTCATACTCCAGAATATAGCATATCTCAGCTTAGGGTCCTCTCAATGTTGATTGTACCAAAGATGATCTTTTAAATAATTCTGATTAATAAGGCACATCTCAAATATTGTGGGTTCTGTTCCTGATTACTGCAATAAAGGTAATAATGCAATAAAGCCAGGCACACAATTTTTTTCATATAAAAAATTATTTAGACTATAGTCTATTAAATGTGTTAGCATTTTGTCTAAAATAATTTACATATTGTAATTAAAAATACTTTATTGCTAAAAAATGCTAGCCATCATTTGAGCCTTCAGAGTTACAATCTTTTTGCTGGTAAGGAGTCTGTCAGCAACATGTTAAAACAGTAAAGGTAGAACATAATGAAAAAACAGGTAAGCTTGTGTGATGGAATTTTTCTTTATGTCACTATCCTACGCTCAGTAGTCTGAGGTCATCCAGATGAACAAAACCTATTTCTCATATGTATTTGGCCTTTAAGAATGTTGCCTGGTTCACAGCTCCCCAAGCCTTTGCAATTCCTGAGCAATAGGAGCATCTTTTATAATATTTAGTCTTGCGTTGGCCTTTTGTCATCAGTTCCTGAAATTCTTTCAGAACCATGAAGGTGAAACAGGTGTCTTATTCAGAACAAGCCCCTTTCTGCCATCACGGGCTTTATGACAATGATTCACACCTTTGTCAAATACAACTCTAGGTCATCTCCCGTTTCTTAGAATATTCTTGAAAAAGATTTCTTCTGTGGCATGTCCCCGTAGAATGATTTTCTTAATTGAACGAACCCCACTTAGTTTTGTCTTTGGATAGTGTTGACATTTGTTAGGTTTTAAAAACAAATGTTATTCCTGCCAGACTATTTAAAATATTGTCTAGTGTTTTGACAGTTCTAATCTTAGAAATATTTCATTCAAGGTACTCATTTTTTAAAGACAATGTAAACAAAAGTTTGTTATTTTAAGTTACAGTAAATGAAGTTAGAGACAGTAGAGTATGTTTTTGCCAATATTAAAATAATAAAACCAGTTTCATGTAGTTTGTTGAGTATAGTTATAGCCAGTCAGGCTTTTATCATTTATCCAGAATATCAAACTTCTGAGGCCAAATACTTTGGTACCTATGAAGAAACATTTGCATTACAACAAAACTATATAACTAAATTTTAATTTACTGTAAAGCCGACTACTGCAGCTCGCTTTATAGAAATAAGGTTGAGGAAAGGTAAATTGCATACACAATAAAACCGAAAGCTACTTTGTTACTTTGCCAGCAGTTTTCCTTTCATTATTCTGATCAATATAATTGGCACTGTATTATTTGGTACCTCTCTATGATCTTTTTTTTTCTAACCTTGCAGTTTTTAATCTCTGGAAGTGTACTTTGTACAGAGTATTAATATAAAAATTAACATTTCTAATGCATAATTCATATTTATTTTGTAAGCACAGACACTAAAATTTTAATTTTACAACAAATTTAAATGCTAGTTATTTTTAAATTATGGCTCTTTCTGACGTTAGTGGATTTTCTCTTTTATCATTAAAGAGCTATGGCTGTTACATAATTATGGAGAGCTAATATAAATACATAAGCCAGTCTGAGTACTTATTTTGTCTTAAGTGACTGATTAGTATATTGTGTAAAATTTGACATTGTTATTTCTGAATACTCCCTTTCATCTAAGGGGTTCCTAGTTTTATAATTTTTGATGAATTTTCAGTGTGTAAAAGATTCTTTGGGGAGAAAAAGTACTCAAGCTTTGATACCCAACCATTTGTACTATGTAATCATTACCTAGTCTTGGCTAAACTTAACCTTTCCTATTTTCTTGTCTGTGAAATGGGTATGATGAAGACTTTCTGCCTGTAGGCAGTTATGAAAATTAAGTAGTATGTTATTTATAAAACACTAATACAATAATTAAGTAGTATGTTATTTATAAAACACTAATACAAATAATTTCGTTCACTTGGTTGTGATTTTACAAATGTTATGTAAATATTCTTCCCACAATGAATTTTCCTTGCTGAGTAATGACTTTCATGATAAAAATGAATGAACAGAAAGTGATACAGCTGAGGTAGTAAAAAGCAAAATCATAAGGCTTGGTTCTTAAACTGTATAAACTTCGGGACATCTGTTTTGACTGTGTAGAGCAGGTTAGGCTTATTTCTTGTTTTTCAGCCATATTTAGAAAAATATTCTAGCTGGATAAGTCTTGTTCACTTGGGTATTAGGATATAAATTAGCTAAGATAGGCACAATTTTACCTTTTTTTACTCTTCTTTCAAAAACTGCATCGTACCACTTAATGGCTATCTACTGTTTACCTATTCTGCTATTCACATATGTCTGTGAAAGAGTCTTCTGTGGACTTACATATAATTACTGGTAGTTTACAGTATAGGACTAACCCATACTTCCTTTTTGAAAAGGAAATACATGGACTTTAAATAGCAGTATTATAAGTGGAGTTTGCTATTATTTTAGAATATACTGAATCCAGATAGGAAAAGCAAACCCCTGTAAGGAAAAAACTTAAATTCTTTCTCCATTATTAGGAGAAACTGTGGATTGTACCAGAAGCAGCAAGAGTTAGTTAATTTAAGAGTACGAGTAGTCCTATATGGTTATAAATTTTCAAATTGATATTGGTGAAGACTGAATGATGGTTTTACCTTGTAGAGAATATACATTTGTTTCTACCTATCTTTCCCATATTCCTAGGTATAAACAATCACTAGACACTCCAAACTCTGACATTAGTTGAAAGCAACTATAGGGGCCTCCCCTGGTAGTGCAGCGGTTGAGCGCTGGGCTGCGAAGCTGCCCGCAGCCTCTGCAGCGCCAGTTCAATCCCTGGCCACCAGGCAAGGGCCCCACATGGCGCGACAGACCTCTCCTGCCATGCCCACTGCTCCCCTCAGCAGTGTGCTTCGTCAAGTCTGTCTGTTCTGTTCCCCGCTCTGGCTCTGGTGAATTCTCTCACCCTCCCGCGCTTCTGACTATACCCAGTGCTTGTATAAATAAATAAATAAATCTTTTTTTAAAAAAGAAAAAGAACGCAACTGTAAATTTTCAGTTATAAAATCAGAAAAGCAAAAATACAATGATAAAAGACTAGACCTAGAAAAATGCACAAAACCCTAAATTCATGTTATCTGAAATAAAGCAGAACTTTACAAGTATTGATTAATCCAGAAAAGGGAGATCAGATACTTTAGAGAACAGTAGGCATAATGAAACATGGATTCAGCTGGTTTATAATATCTTAATACTCAACCAAGTGGACAGGATTTATTCAGTCAGAATATTTTTAACAGTAACTGACTATAATAAGCAGTAAAATGTTATTTCAAGTAAGAAATACTAAATTAACATTTTCAGTAATAATTACTAATCTAAGATTTATGAAATTCTATTCAGTGTCTTTAAAATGTTGTACTTGGTGTATTATTTTAAAATCAAAGATATTTTAAATGATTTTTTTTTTTTCGCTTCTTTTAAGACTTGCAATCCCTATTAACCTGGTTTCCCTGTGAGTTCTTAAAAGGCTCAGCCACAGTTTAGCCTTCCAAAGTGTTTTCCATTGGAACGTAACTCTGAGCTGGAGAAGTAATGCTGAATAGAACAGTGAAGTAAATGTGTAGAGCAGGTCTATTGTTCACTAATGGATTGGACTTCTTTAGGTTTCAGAGTCAGGGGTTGATTTGATTGCTAATCTAGCTACTCTTCTTTCAATAGCCAGTACTTATTGAGCAACTTCCATGTAATGATGAGTTGGGGACCCAATGATGAGCTAAATATAGCTCTGCTCACACAGAGCTAACTTTTTGCCGGCTTTAACTTGGGCAGTTACTTCACCTCTCCAGTCTTTTCCTATAAAATATAGAGGATACGTAGGCTCATAGAATTATTTAAGTGAATTTAATAAGATAATGTTTAAAGAATGTCATGCATGGTGCTAGGACATAGTAAGCACCCAAATGTTAATTCCTTCGTCTTATGACGTACAACAAACAATTATGTGTATGGGAAGCTATGAAAGTTAATACCTTTCTGTCAGTGTGGATATGCTGAAAAAAGACATCAGTAAAAGCATTTAAAACCTTTATCATTTTAATGAAAATTGTATTTTATAATTTTTTATAAAACTTATAGATTTTTGGTTTTAAATGCTTTATTTTATTTATTTACCAACACTCAGTATTCTTAAGAATTCTGTGAGGTAGTTGGTGTTATTTCCTGTGCTTTACAGACACAGGAACTGAGGCAGAGAGGTTAATCACTTTGCCCAGACTCACACAGAAACTTAAGTAGTAGAGCTTGATTTCAAACCTAGGCAGTTTGGTTTCAGAGTCCATATTCTTAATACTATGCTGTACTACCTATAAAAGGAGGAGTTTTTAAACATCTTCACCAGTAACCACATTATTCTAAATATATTTTGCTCATTTTATTCAATGAAACATTTGTATGTTAATATTTTCATTCTTTTAAATAGCTGTCATGGATGCACTGGTAGAAGATGATATCTGCATTCTGAACCATGAAAAAGCCCAAAGGAGAGATATTCCAGTTTCGATATATTCAGGCGATGAGTCTGTTGCTTCACATTTTGCCCTTGTCACTGCATATGAAGACATCAAAAAGCGACTTAAGGATTCAGAGAAAGAGAATTCTCTCTTAAAGAAAAGAATAAGGTTTTTGGAAGAAAAGGTAATTATGCATTATCTTCATTTTTCTATCACTTAAATAATACAAAGTATTTGAAATTTAAATACTTTCCTGTCTTCCATGGTTGTGCTAAATTGTCAAAGGAGGCAGCTCCAAGAACATTATGTTTAATAATACCTTCAGCAGGGCTGAAAGTGTTATTCTTTTTTCCATCTTGTGTCCAGATGTTCTTATTTCCTAGGCATATGTGTTGACTTCTTTGTTTTTGCAGGGAGGTGGGGTGGGGGAGGGCGGGTATTAGGGCACAGTGGGTTTGATTTTGTTTCTTGTCTTTGTTTACCTTGGTGGTAGGTGGAGGAGTGAGGAGACTTATTCTCATTCCTGGAGACAGGAAAGGCTAATTTTGGCTGCCTCAGCCTCCTCTCTTCTCTCCCCCCCCAAAGCAAGCTCTGCTCAGGGCTTCAGGGATCTTATGTCCCTGCCCCACTTCCTTGCTCTTCCCTTCTGTGTTATGGGATCTGCGCTCCACCAAGCTTGAGTCACCTGGCAAGGGGTGCCAGACATGACAAGCAGAGCCCAAGTAGCTGGACACGGGCAACCTTGTGCTGCTTGCCTGGCATGAGGTGCTAACTGTGAACTGTGTGTCTCAGTTACCTAGTAAGGCCACTACCACCAGGCAGCAGAACCCAGACTCCCAGGTGCTGTGGATTTCTCCCTTAGATCTTTTCCTAGGGAATGGGAAGAGGTCTCTCCCACCTGCTCTGCCTGCAGCCCAACTCCCACAACTCAGCTCAGAGCAGTCCTCTCCACCACTGCTGCCAAGTTTCCTTTTGCTCTTTACAGTGGGAGGGGAGGGAGTCCCCAAACTGCAGGCACTCTTGGTTCTGCATTATGTGCACCCTCTGCCTCACTCCCTTTCCAGAAGAGTGCGCCGGTAATATTTTCAGGCCTGGGAGGACCAGTGGCCATCCACTGGCCTGTCCCACCATCTTACCCCATGACCTCCTTTGCTGCTTTGCTCATTGTCCCCGCAAGCCACCAACTTCAGCACAGAATTTCCAACAAGTCCTTTGTCTCTGTCAGTGAACCATAAAATCTTCCTTTGAGCTAATTTGATTCTAGTTTTATTTTCTTTTTAGTTGTGTTTAGGGGAGTGATCCAGACCTTTCTATTCTGTGTTATGGGTATAGTTTCTCATACTAATTTACTTTCACTGCAATTAAATAAATTTGTGCCATCTAGGGATAGAGTGAGAAAAGAGAACATATTGGAACTTGTATCTTTGTTTTAAAGTGGAAAAATGGGGTTTGGTATAATTAATACTGGAAATATTTTGTACTTTGACCAACAGTCATAGTAATTCCTTTTCTAGAATAATATTTTATGAACTAGCACATGTATTTCATAAAAAGTCAGGAAACACCTTACCTTGATACATTTTCTTTTTTTTTTTTTTTTTTTTTTTAAATTTCTTTTTTTTTTTTTTTTTTTTTATTTTTTTTTTTAAAGATTTTTTTTTTTTTTTAATAGAGGCATGTTTTTCTTTATTTGTTTGCTTGTTTGTTTGTTTTGTTTATACATGCAAAGGGTACAGTCAGAAGCGCGGGAGGGTGAGAGAATTCACCAGAGCCAGAGCGGGGAGCAGAGCAGGCAGAAGGACCGAAGTACACTGCTGAGGGGAGCAGCGGGCGGCAGGAGAGGTCTGCGCACCATGTGGGACCCTCCTCCGGTGGCCGGGGAGCAGCCGGGGATTGAACCGGCGCTGCAGAGGCCGCGGGCAGCTTTGCAACCCAGCGCTCTACCACTGTGCCACCGGGGAGGCCCATCCTTGATACATTTTCTGAGGGAAGTTAAATACTATTGACTTGGAAAATACCTAAGGACTATAAAAGAATAATACACTATGTTTTAGTATGATGGGTTAATATAACACAAATACTATAACATGTAATATACTGATAAAAGCATAAAATAGAAGACTTTAAATATTGTTCATAAAGCATAATTATATGGAAGCACCTGAGGGGAGATATCCTATGCTGTCAAAATATTAACAAGAATGTAAAACAATGGTACTTCATTAATAAATCAATAAAGAATTGTGTGGAAATAAAACGTTCAGTTATAGTTCAGGCTTTATCTTTGAATACAATGATTAAAGTAAGATATGTAGTCATCAAAAAACTGATTTAGTTTGTGTGTGTGCGCAGAATGCCTCTAAAGCTCTTCTTTGTAATTTTATGCCATTAGCTTATAGGAGCTCGATCAGATGAAGAAACAAGTTCTGTGGGACGAGAACAAGTAAACAAGGCTTATCATGCATATCGAGAAGTTTGCATTGATAGAGATAATTTGAAGAGCAAACTGGACAAAATGGTAAGTTAGCTTGAAAAGAATATTGCAAATGAGTTTTCTCCTTTAAGAGGTTTACAAGTGGAATAAGAAATATTTACATTTATTAAATTAAAAATGAAAAATCAAGGTAAAAAATTTTTATAGTAAATACTTATAACTTATTTGTATACAAAATAAATAATGTGTAATGATTTTTAGGACTTAAATACATCTGATGCCACTGATTTTGAAAAAAACATTACATGGTAGAATTAGTCACTGTGTCAAAAAAAAACAGTGAATACTACGTCCTGAGTTAGAACATGAACATGAGAAATTAAGAAACAGGATTTTATTTTCCCATTCTTCTTTTAAAGGGCTAGAATGAGTTTTTTAAACATCTAGCTGAAAATTTATATATAATACCAACTTACAGATTTTACTGAATATAATTTGGCGTTTTCCCTACTTAACTAGAATAAAGACAACTCTGAATCTTTGAAAGTATTGAATGAACAGCTACAATCTAAAGAAGTAGAACTCCTGCAGCTAAGGACAGAGGTGGAAACTCAGCAGGGTATGCCACTTACTTGTTATAAATATTCTAATGGAATTAATACATTTTTCCATTCATGTGTTATATCCATGATCAATTTTCTATATCTCTAATGCTTATTTAATTTTTAGACTTACATTAATTTTTCTGCTCTGCTTTTACGAAGTGTTAACTCCTTTTAACATTTCCATAGATATAAACTGCAATTAAAAAAAAAAAAGAGGGTTGTTATTCAGTACTAGTTTGTATAGGAATTACAGGAAGAAAGGAGTAAACTCCATCTTTGTCAAAACTTCTTACCTACTAGTGTGTTCTGGCTCTTCCTTCCTCTTGAATTTTTGTTCACTGTTAGACACACTATCATGGAATAGTTATAATTGCTTTTTACTTTTTTAATTTTCTCAGGTTCTTAAAATGTGAGATAGATACTAAAGTTAAAAGTTAAGTCTGGGGGATATGGGTATTAACCAGTTCCCATGAACATTCTGATGAGACAAACTGAATAATGGGTCTTTGATAGATCTTTTGTTAGGGTATTGAGATGATACCTATTGTGGTAGCTAGTGAGGGCTTTTTTCTTGGTAGAGTGAAGAAGTCAAGGATGTTAGTACTCAGTTGTATTGCATTACTACAATGAAATATTTATAAATAAAATTGTACTGACATGTTCTAGGCCTGATGGTCAAATATTTTAGTACTCTGAAGGGACCAAATGTTTGCTGAGTGTGCTTCAGTTTATTCACTTCATTTAATTTTCATTATTATCTTAACCTGAAATTAATAGATTATCGATGTCTACAGTTTTAGAAAATGCTTGCTATTAGTGTTGTATCTTTTAAGTTCCCAGACCAACAAATTTGTATTTTAAACTAAATAGAAAATAAGAACCAGGGGAGATGAATACATTCTAAAACAAGATGCTAGATTTCTTATTCTCAGTAACAGATCTTTGAAAGTATTTACTGTTTTTCAAATATTATTAATTGTGCATGTTTTATATCAATTTTTCTATCATCTATACTTTACCAGCATAATTTATTTTAAATTACAGTTTATGTAAAAGGCAGAGATAAAAATTTTAATGTCCATCCCTTTTGTAGTGATAAGGAATTTAAATCCACCTTCATCACATTGGGAGGTGGAAAAGTTGAGCTGTGACCTGAAGATCCATGGCTTGGAACAAGAACTGGAACTGATGAGGAAAGAATGTAGCGATCTCAAAATAGAGCTACAAAAAGCCAAACAAACGGTACTACAACATTAAATTGAGAAATTCAATATTCTGTGGGGATTATATGTAGGATTTATAACTATTAAAACCATAGAGTTCACATAAAACTATTTTGCTTTGAAAAGTTCTTTTATATTTCCCTTTAATCATTTTTGCTAATATTGATATACTTTGGTTAGCATAAACTCAGAATTAAATAATTTTGTTTAATAAAGTAATTTTTTAAAAGTTTACAGTTTATTAAAACAATTCTTTCACATTCCCTTTCTTTCAATTTCCTTGAGTTACTACTTCTCTGAAAAGTTCAAAGATAATTCAGGTTTTAAGTTTCCCATATTATTTAAACTAGTATTTTGATTAATTTAGACATCATAAGAGTGACTTGATTTCTAGAATTCTTTAAAAGAAGAAGAAAACTTTGCAGAGTTCACAAACATCTAGAAATATAATACAGGGCGACTTTAATTTCAGCAAATTATATGGAATTCATGAATTGGGAACACAAGTAAAAACTAAAAATCCTGTTAACTGCTAAACTGTGGTTAACCTAGTCATCCATTAAAATACAAATTGCCTCTCAGGTTCTCACCAAGAGTATGTTTACTAATACTTCCCATTGGATTCTAACAAGCTTGGATATGTTTTTGCAGATTAGTGATGACAATTAGTTCTGAGAATGAAAAGAAGACATGATAGAGAAGCAGGAATGTGTGAAAGCAATGCACCAAAACACAAGGTTTAAAATAGTTATCAGAAAATGGAAAGCTTACTAGTCTGGAGTCATAACAATTATCTATGTCATATGCACTTACATAGTTCAACCATTTTGTCCTTCAGAGCATTCTAACACTATTGAGGAGCTGTGTCACTTACCTCAAGTTCCTCTGCCACTAACTGAAAAAGGAACTACTTCCCATATTTCCTGATTGCCCGCAGTCTGCCCTGCGTCCCAAGTGTCTTTAGTTGAGCTGACATTTGACATTTCTCTTCTATAATGTAGTTATCAAAGATGACCATTCATTAAGAATGAGCCAGGCATTAAGAATAAAAAAAGCGTCCTCCATTGGCCTTGAATAAATGAATTCCGCTGGATAATGAGAACTTGGTTTGAAGCCCCCCTCCCTTCCACTGACCTGAAAAAGGGGAAAAACAAAAATTGTCAATTAGAGACAAAATGCTTTTTATTCTACTTGATATCTGAAGTTGATTTTCCCAACTGTGATCTTACAGCTACATGCCACAATTTCCTGAAAAGGTTTCCAGCATCTGGTCACATAAGCCCAGTCACAATAGCCCAGAAAGCATCTTTTTGAAAAAAAACTTGCAAGAAAAGATCTGCACGTAAGAGCTTTGACTTACAGTTGTCAGTGTATACATTCTACTTGAAATCATTTGATGGCATTTATATATAATGGATATTCTTTATACAGTAGGAAGCAATACCACTGAATTAAAAACTCACCTCATAATTACAGTGTGACTAACTCTTAGATTAGGAAAGTCATTTAACCATTTGGAATTTGTTTTCTAGAAAAGTAAACATTAAATGCCTATTTTTAAATGAAGATTAAATGAGATATAAATAAAACAGTCCCTGCCTCACATACAATAAATTCAATCAGTGAATGTCTGGAAAAAAAAAAAGGTAGGTTAATGCAGAAAAGCAATGCTTTGTGTGTGTGGTGCATGTGCCAGGTCATGCTCATGCAGTTTCACTTCCTAATTACTAGTTACTCTTTTCCACTAGATGGTGCTAGGGGATTGAGCTAATGAAATGGAGTTTGAGATACAAAGAAGCTTTAACAATTCAAAGTGAGATAAGGGGAAGGTTCGTGGTTTTTTTGTTGTTTTTTGTTTTAAGGTTTTAAGCTGTTCCATCTCCATAGGAATTTATGTGGTGGGTGGGTGGAAGATTTAAAGTAAAACATGCTCACAGCTATTACTAAGCAATGAAACCAGGAAGAATAGAAATGCCTAATATCTACTTATCAAGGGTTCCAAGTTGAAATCTTCATGTTCTAGTCTTTTAAGTCTTATTTAGAGATGTTGCTAATCAGAGTCCTCCTAAATATGAGAATCAAACGAAAAACCAAGGAGAGAAAAACCATTTATAATTTTACATCTCATGTGGCCATAATATTTTACACCATAATTTTTTTAAGATCGTACTTTTTGTGAAACATTTTATAATACATTTTGAAGTGTGAGATAGTATCCTGCGTGGACATAACAGTATTTGTTTTTATTTTAAGCACTTGGTGAATTCCTTTAATTCTTGGTAGGTTCCAGGATGGACCTTTTAGACTATCTGGATCCCCCCCCAAATTTCTAGCCACTTATATTCAAAATGGTTGATCTTTTTAGAAAACAGATTGTAAGGCCAAAGAAATATAACAAACTCTGCAAGAATAAGATGTAGTTGGATTAGATGTCTAATGTACCCATTAATAGTCCATTTAGAGACTCACAATATGTTGGGGTATACTAAAAGTTGCGAGAAGTTCTGTAGTATAAGAACCTGTTTATTCTGAGCGATATTTCCCAAGATTTTGTAGCCATAGGCCCTTGTTTATATGAAATTGCCACATATGGCACTAAGCAGATCCATTATTCCATCACTGTTATAAGGACACTGTCAGGGACATGTCTTAGAATATTAGAGACTTTTGTGCTTAGTGATAGTTCAAACAAGAGTTTCTGAATTATTAGTTGGTAGCCAGAAAATAATTTCCTACCCAAAAATACCACTGGCTTTAAAAATAAGGTTTCTATTGCACATACAAGTGTAAGAATATACTAGTTAAAAAAATACTTATGATCTGATTCTTTCACATTTCAAAGACTTAAGGTTTTTTTTTTTTTTCATGAGCAGTTTTATTTTTTAAAGAAAATCAAAGCATTAGTGACTTTAAATAAATGGAAGTGATTTAAAAATAACTGGTATAGGTTGGTGGTATTCTGTTAAATTTAATGTAAAGTCTAGTTTTATGCTATACAGTTACAGATATATTCTGTAAAAGCTTGAAATGTCTTAATAAAGTGATGAGAATAAATAGAATGATTTAGTTCAACTTTTACTTTTTTAAAAAATGAATAACAGGTTCCATCTCAGGAAGACAGTCTGAAGAGCAAAGATCTCCAAAGATTAAGCATTTCAAGGTATGAACATTCTTCAGCATTCAAAGAAAAAAATTTGTTTTCCATAGGCCATTTCCTATAGATACCTAGATTTCTGCTAGGATGAAGCTTAAAAACAAGTAGACACTTGTTGGATACCACATGTGAACTCCGATCACAGTATATTCATGAAAAACATTTAACTATTCTTTAATAATAGGCTTACACTTGAGTAGGAGAAAAGGTGTATATTGTGATCTTAAAATTTTTGACCATTCAAAATATTTTAGATTGAATTTTAGAAAACTAGCTGTAAAGAAATATTCTATAATAAATTCTGATTTTGTACATGAAGGATTATGCAGTTTTACATACTGTAATAACCCTTTGTCTTAAGAACAAACCTGAACCACCTTTTCATTCTTTGGTATAGTATGAATTTTAAGAGAACTTTGCTCTGTGGTAGAAACAAAAGTAGCTATCAGGAGTTCATGTATGTTATTTTAACCTTTTTTTCCCTCAAAATATATCATTTTTACCTGAGTAATTTAAGTGCTATGTTTTAAATTATTTGGTGATTTTCTTTTCTACTGTGGTATCATCCTCTTTCTCCACATATACTGCCATCCAAAGAAAAATACTACCTAACTGACTTCATTGTTGAATCATTTGACTTCCAAAGTTTACTGACCTGAAGTAAAAATGTGAATTGTTTCATTCCATTTCTATCAGAAGCCTAATTGAGAGAGATGATCAATTTTAGGAGATACAATGCAGCCACTCTTATACTTCTTCTATAAAGGACGGGCAGTAAATATTTTAGGCCATGCGGGTCATCTAGTAACTGTTACAACTTTTCCGCTCTGCCATTTGAATAGTATTTCAGTTATATCTTCAACTTTCATCTAAATTTATAGCAAGAAAGTTTTTACATTTTTCTTAAACAGTGCCTAATATACTTGCACATGAATTATTTTTTAAGGTTGTCTTTGTCAGTTGTCTTTTCAGTTGTCAGTCTAGGTGTGAAGGTTTCCCCTTAATGATTGTTATATTTGTCATTTTCATAAACTTTTAAATTTTGAAAAAGCAGGAAAAAAATTCAGTAAGTCAAAAGGGTATTAAAAGACTTCAAGTTGCTAGGCGTTCTATTTTTCTCTGCCCATTTTGCTGCTTTCAAGTTATCATGGCTTTTCCTTTTAAAAATTGGATTAGCCACTTAACACTGAGCAGCTTAGGCTTTCCAGCAGGTGGTGCTATGGCTTTTTTTTTTTTCTTTTTTGGTTCTTGCCTTTTGATGCTATTCTAAATGCCTCAAGCACATGAGTAGCTGCCTGTGTCAGGGGGTTTGGGGAGGGACATGAAGAGTAACGAGCTGCCATCATGGACATGCTGGCATAGGTCTTCCTGTGGATGGCCAAGCTGTTGTCCCTGCTCTTTGGAATCCCAGTGCTGAGATTAAGCAATATATCCACTATCGGTACACTTCACGGCGGCTCTTAAATGGTGCCAGTACAGATCCCAACATGTGGGGGACTGCAAATATAGTGTAGACTGATTGCTCTGTGTCATCCTTGTGGAGCTGCTAGCCTTCTTATGGAGTACCTCACTTTCTCCATTTTCAGCTTCACTTAGGTAATCAAGGGTGTGTGCTGCTACCCTGTCTCAGTTACCCTTCCTCAGTGTCTTTGGCTGGGCTGGTAGCCCTGCTGTCTCAGCACTTCCAGACCACCACGTCCACATGTAATTCTTCATCCGCCATCCATTACACCTATGTGTTGAACTCCTCAGTTTCTCCTCTAATGCAGTCTGTGTTAGTCACTGAGGTGCTTCAGCCTCACCTTTGTACTGTGGGGTTCTCTCAGTGGTATCCCATTCCTTGCTAATAGTGGTTCATCCTATGAGCAAACATCCTCTGCCACCATCTTGGTGATATCCCCCAAACAATTAGATATTTTTAAGGATTATTTTTCATTTATTTGGAAAATTCTCTTTTTGGGGAAAGCTTTTTTTGTATATCACTTGGTCGTGCAAATGAGGTATTGTATATACCATTTCCCTAATACAGAGTGAACTTTTTAGTTTAGTACTAGAGGCTTTTTATAGGTACTCAGTGTATATAACATGAATTAACAGTAAAGCCCTATCCAGCAGAAATTTCATCAATGTCCTGCCAGTGGGCTGTTTTTGGTGTTAGCTTTAGGTTGATGCCATCAGTTCTTAAGCCAGATAGAGGTATAAGATAAATAAAACTTCATAGAATTTAAATTCTAAACTTTGCTATGTTTAATTTAGGCACAAAAATTTGTGAGTAAAGAGAAGCATTTTAAAAACATGGGATAAAGCAGAACAGAATAGAACCTAACAAGTTGGCTTCTCTTAACTTACTTTGGGGGGTGGGGGCTGCAGTATAAAATTATTATTTGTTCTGCCAGGCAATCCAGAATGTTCGGAAGGCATTTGTTTGGGGCAATCATATTTGATAATATACAATATCTTTTAGTCTATAGTGCTGAAACTAAGACTACCCCATACTTTCCTATTACTTTTTCTAGTGGATTTAATAGTTCAAATTTTTACAAGCTAAAGAAAAATATGTATGGTTAAAGTTAAAACTCAAGTTAGTGGATTTTCTTATGTAAGTAATGTTCATTTTTATATACACACTAATATTAGAGTTGACTGTATAGTGCCAATTAAGAAAACTGGGCTTTTACACGAGCTTTGTAAGCAGGACATGTATCCCTTTTGATGCAGCAAGCAGATTTCATTACATTTAAAATTCAGGGGGTGGGTAACTTTACATGGGGTCAAGAAGGTGGTATTGGCATATTGTGTAGCATGTTGTAGGTGCCTGGTAAGTGAATGTTAGGAAAAATGCTACCCCAAAGGGGAGTAAGCAGTCATGAGAGTAGATGAGTAAAGGTGGCTTTGAAAAGCAGCATGTTCAAGTAAGTGATCCTGAACGTGGTTCCACATGCATAAAATGAGGTTACTCAGTTTGCCAAAGCGGTGTGAGAAAGAGGGTGAAGTGTCTGCCACATACCAAATTCTCAACCACTGCAACCATCCCTTTTTATTTGTTCGCCTATTTTTTTGTGTTTTCATTTGGGATACTTTAGTGCTATATCCTAATATCTAAGTAGTTTTATGACAACTACATATATTATCAGAAATTTGCTTGTACAGCATTTAAAACAAAAGTTTACTTAAGTTTATACTCCCAGTTGGAGGGTATATGGGAAACTGATACAGACTCAGAAATATCTAGGTAAGTAATGATTAGTTGGAAGCCTGCTAAAAGATTTGTGAGATAACATCTTAACCTTTTCTAATTGCACTTGAGTAATGATTTAAATATTTTGTTCACCTAGAATTAAATTTTAAACACTTTTAAGACTACAGTGCTTGACAGTAACTGTAATTACTTTGTTATCCACTAGAGGGAGAGCTTATACTTAGAAAAATCCAAAATTAGTTTGATCTGTGTCTTCAACTGAGGTGACATTAAGGGTAAAAGACTTAGAAGTACGTTAAACTTTGTTGCTAGTTTCTGGTTTAACCTAATTTATAGTCACTCTTCATGAAACTGAATTTATATATATCAGGCACTGATTCAATACCTCTATAGCAATTATCTTTATCTTACATGTTTATTTTGAATGAAAAATAAATATGCTTGACAAATTATTGATAGTACCCAAATATTACCTTGGGTATTTGCTTTTCTCCAAGTCAGGTCCTGATTTACCATCTCATGCCAGTAAGTTTTTAAACTCTTATTCACATCATGATTGTCTGCATGAATTAGCACATGCACAGTGTTTACATTTCTTGCTATGTAATGTAACTCTGGAAAGCATACTGAATGCCCAGAGTTTCACCAAGGAACCAACAACTCTTTTCACACTTAAGACAGGTTCTTATGTGAAACATTCATTGTAGCATACATTTTAGATGTTTACTGGTGAGGTAGAGGTGGTTAACTAAGTTTTGTTAAGTAATTATTTCACACCTATCAAAAGCCTGCAAAAAGCATTGTGATTTTTAATAGACTGGTGGTTAATGAGTGACACAATGGACTAAAATAAGTAGGTCTTTCTGAAAAGCAATATAAAGTTTATCATTATTTCCTAACACTTGTATTGAATGGATTGAATGAGAGGGAATACATAATTATGTTTGTGAGTAGATTTAGATACTGAGAGTGTCATCCCTTGAAGTTTATAGTTAGAAAGTATGAAATGTTTGTCTCACATGATTTAATTGCTACTAAAATTACACTGCACCTATAAAATGGGGGAGAAAATGGTCATTTGAATGCTATGACATCATTTGTACTTTAATTTAAAATTTTACATATTCTTATACATGTTGAAGATTTTGGTAAATTTAATTGGCAATTAAAACCTAAAGGAATCATGAATATCCAACTAAGAATAGTCAATGGAAGATGAAATTTACAAAAATTAGCTTTAAAATAACTTACCTGATTAAGATAATTAAAATAATTTTGATTATAAAAATAGGAAGCATTTGTAAAGTTTTTACTTGTTTCATATAATCCTCTCTGAAGCTTCTTTCTCCTTGCTAGGAAGTCATGTGGCTGCTCATGTCTTGTGCTCTCATGTCATATTGGTAAGCAACAGTGAGTGATACAGCACAAACATGTAAGAATGTAATGCAAGAAACCAAAGTTTTATTTTAATGTGGACCTGCGTATACACTCAAAAATTTGATGTATCATTTTACTTCACAATGTCAAACCAACCAGAAGGTAAATACAAATTTAAACCTATACAGGAATAATATCATGTGATACCACTACTACTGACTATATATAAGCAGGACACTACATATTATTGGCTGCAATAAAATCTTAATTCTGAGAAGAGAATGATAAACTCATTAGAATACTTTTGGTATTATATCCAAGAATAAAGAAAAATTTTAAATTTAAGTACAAATGATGTCATCGCATTCAAATGACGGTTAACTCCCCCATTCTATAGGTGTAATTTTAATAATAATGAAATCACATGAAAAAAACATTTCATACTTTTTGTTTAACTATAAACTTCAAGGGATAACACTCTCAGTATCTAAATCTACTCACAAACATAATTATTATTTCACCTCATTCAAATACTCTTGGTAATACCCTTCTGTTTAAATAGTGCGGTTAATTGCTAGAAATTGTTTTTATGAGTAATATCTTTTCACTTGTTATCATAGCCTAATTAAACATCTTTCAATTAAATGAGGAAGATTAACCTACATCTTAAAATTAACTTCAGTAGAAATAGATATGGTTCATTCTTATTTTAAGATTATTGCCCTTTTGGTCCATTAAAAAAAAATGACTTTAAAAAAATAAAAATCTATTTCAGTGACAATATACAACATGCATACTGGGAACTGAAGAGAGAGATGTCTAATTTACATCTGGTGACTCAAGTACAAGCTGAACTACTAAGAAAACTGAAAACCTCAACTGCAATCAAGAAAGGTAAGTCAGGCCTCCCTGGCGGTGCAAGGGGTTAAGCGCAGCGCTGTGAAGATGTCTGCAGCCTCTGCAACACGTTCAATCCCCCAGCCAGGGAGCTACCCACATGGCACAGCAGGCTTCTCCTGACTCGTCTGCTGCTCCCATCAGCAGTATACGTCGGTCTGCCTGCCTGTTCTGTTCCCTGCTCTGTCTCTGGTGAATCCTCTCACCTCCCACACCTCTGGCCTGTACCCCAGCTCTTGTAATCATAAATGAGTAAATCTTTAAAGAGAAGGAAAAAAAAAAGGTTAAGTCAGTGCTGGAAACCACTGGTTCCAGCCAAACTGCTTGAAGAGCAACTAGGTCTTGTATCTTACCAAATCTCATCAAATGAGTTTGATAAGCCAAAGTGTACACAGTGTTCATAGTCAACCCATTTTGTGCTTTGGCTTCAGTCTCATACTGGTCAACTTCACACATAAAGGTGTTGCTGATGTGTTTTTTCTTTAGTACTGTATTCTTTTCCCCTTGTGGCTTTTTTTTCTCAGCCAAGTGTTGCTTATATGTAAAAGGCTGAGGTGTTAAGTTTGCTCTAGTTGACCTTTTACCACAACTACTTCATATATTGAAAAAAAGACAGCAAAGGCTATTTTTCATTCCAGTGCTAGAGAGTACAGCAAGACCTAACCTTTTAGTTTGTTTTGAAAAACAGAAGTTTGATTCATTATTTGGGTTTCATTTTTTATAAGCTTAAATTTTTTCCCACAAGTTGTTTAGAATGGAGGCTTCTTCCCCACCAACGAAACAAAATCTTCACTGCTTTTACCTTCATGTTTAACTGCCTAGCTGACTAAAATGTTTGAGTTTTGTTTTAACTAGCAGTGGCTACTTTGCCAAAGCTATTTTTATACTTCAGAGAAAAATCAGTGTGTTTGTACCTTTTATTAGATAGTAGTTCTATTTCTGAAAACGTGTGTAACATAAATAATAACGCCCTAAAGTCTGCTTTTTAAAGGAATATGTCTTTTTTATAAAAAAGTCACTACAAAGTTTTAAGTCATCATTTGCATCTCAGGTTGTCCCTGAGAAGGGAAAAGAGATGGTTATTTTATAAATAATTCTCAGAAGTGTTTTCTAGTGGCAAATTGGTAAAGAAAACTAAATTCAAAAGTCCTTTCAGTTTCTAGTGAGTTACTTATGAAGCGGACAAAATAATACGGTGTTTTTGCAGCGCCTAACGCGTTCAGTTGTCCTCAGGCTTCACAGCAGTCAGGTATGAAACAGCTAATTAAGTTCATAGTAGAGATAAGACTTGTCTTAAAAGGGACTTGATTAATTTGCAGTGAGTTTTCAGTGTGTCTTCATCACTTCAAGAATAATAAAGGAGAAAATGTTCTTTCTATATTTGCAGTGTTGAGGACAAGTGAACTATGAATTAATACTTCACTCATATGTCCCTTCTGAGCTGGTAAATGATAAATCTGTTGCTTTGAATCTTCAGTTTCCTAGCACATTTCCTACAGTGGTGGCAACTCAAGGCTACCACCCCTCACCACAGAACTCAACTGCTTTCTTGAGTAGACAGAGTTGAGACTAGGCCACTATTTTTCCTGACCTATATCACCTTTTTCTAGAAGCTGAGCAGTTGCTTCCAGTTCTCCCCCACCCCTATCCACCCTCCCAGTAGAAAAGGCAATAATCTTTGTTTTGTAATGTGGTTCAATCTCTTCTAAAATTAAATAGTAGCAAGCTTTAGTTGCACGTATCTTTCTTGGACTTAGGATAAATCTATCTTTAATGACCTGTAGGCCGAATATATAAGCCATAATTTGTGTATTGAACATATTTTTCTGTTTTCTTTTACTTGGCCATAGGAAAACTGGAATTTACTATGTGTTTTACAAAAATCAATTGATAGCTTTTTTCAAGTGGTTTTATCTATACGAAGCCTCTGAAAATATATTAAAGCTTCATTTGGGGTCTCACCAATTCAGTTATTTCTAGATTTACTTTTGGACTATATGGAAAGAAGATTTGAATAAAGAAAGGAATTTATATTTAACTAAAATAAAAACCTAAAACTTAGGAAAAGCAGACACATTATACAGTCTGCAAGCTTTTAACCACGGTAGGAGTCAGTGATGGGATTTTTGCTTGTATTTTAATTCCTTGGCTCTGTGATGAAGGTAGAACAGGATTACTGTGTCTGTTTTCAGACAGGGGAGACATATAGAACAGTTTAGTGACTTACGTAGTTACAATATTACTAAATAGCCACTCCAGAATTAGAATCAGATCTTCTGTCATCTACCTCCACGCCATGCTGCCTCTTGAAATCTTTTATTTCTGGTTCTCCAATTCACCGAATAAGTGACATTTTATGATCATATTTGCCACGACAACTGACATTTAGCCTGTATTTTCTTTTTCAGCCTGTGCCCCAGAATGCATGGAGGACCTTGGGAAAGACAGCACAAAACTGCATTTGACAAATTTTACTGCAACATACAAAAGACACCTCCCTCTCTCACCTAATGGCAAAACTCTTTGTCATACCACATCGTCCCCTCTACAAGGAGATATAAAGGTTTTGTCAGAGAAAGCAATTCTCCAATCATGGATAGATAATGAGCGCTCCATTCCTCATGATGGTACAAACTTCCAGGAACACAACTCTTACAGCAGAAATTCTCTCGAAGATAATTCTTGGGTGTTCCCAAGTCCTCCTAAATCAAGTGATACAGCCTTTGGGGAAACTAAAAATAAAACATTGCCTTTACCCAACCTGACACCACTGCATTACTTGGATCAACATAATCAAAACTGCCTTTATAAGAATTAATTCTCAAGAGGTTTCAAGACTTAAGGATGCTGTTTCCCTTCATGGTTCTCAAGAAATTATTTAACAAACTGAAAGCAGGTTTTGACTAAAATTTTGTAGTTCTTCAGCGTATACATTTGCACATATTGTACCATATTGTGTAGCTGATTTTGCAGTATGAAAGAGTACCATCCAGGTCCATGTTGTGACAAAGAATCAGATATATGCTACTGATTAATAAATTAATAAACTCTTAGGTGTTTCATAAAGACAGTTCTACCTTTGATAATTATATAAATTTTGCCTCACATGAAGAATGGAAAGTAAAGTTTTTAGATAAGGTTTTACAAAATGTAAAACCTAAATATCTATACATAAAAATAAAGACAGGAAATTCATGTAAGTTGCATAAAGGAGCAAGTGGAAATGTGAATAGGTTATATTTCTGTTGACTGTACAAAGCATAAAGTTAAGAAAAATATTATAGTGGAATAATAGTATCTAGGTTATTCTATCTGTATGCTATTGTGTTTCAAAATTTAAGGTCTAAAATAGTTTTTTAATCACAATGTTGTTGGTACAGTTTAGAATTGCAATTTGAATTCTACAACTTAATATAACCTGATCATGGAAGCCAACTTTCCTAATTTTAAAAAGTGATGACATAGCTGATAAATTACGTAGTGTGTGAATAAGCTATTATAATTCTATACATCAAGTAGAAAGAGCATCACAGAGGTTTCAGTCTAGTCTCTCCCTTCAGTGGTCCTTAGTGAAAATATGAAAGTAGATGTAACTATGCAGCTGCTTGCTATATAGAGCAGTTTCTATATTGTTAGACCCTGTTTTGAAATGTAACATTTTATTCATTGGGAAGGACTTTTAGGTGAATTAGGAATTTTCTAGAAACCAAATTCTGTGCTGTATTGATAAAGTACAATCATGGAATTCCCAAGCTCTGATTCTAAGTTGTCTATCATTTATAAACAAGTAAGGAAGTTATAAGAATGGCTTCACATGGAATGTATCTAAATTCTTTCAAGGTGGTGGTATTAAGAACATTAGTAATAAAACGTATTACTTGGTACATACATCGTTTGCTTGAGATAAAGTATTTCGAGACCTTTATCCCTTTGATAGACAGTTTCAAATATATTGAACTCAAAAGAGTATCTCAGATCTCTTGTATATTAACTGAATAGCATACATACATAATGTTCACCGTTCACCAGATATTTCTGTCTTTCTATTATCTTACTCACTTATTCGAGCTTGTCTGTGATTAATGGAATTGGTGTCAGATGCTGGAATTTATTCTGACCAATGAACACAACTGACTCGAGGGAGTACAATCTCCTGCCAAGTAATAGAACAAAATCCAATATGCATAAAACAAATACAAGACTCCAGGCTTTAGCTGAAGGAAGCAACTACCTGTGTAATAACAAAGCAGCAGGAACTATTTCTCATGTGGCTGCATAGGCTGTATATTATATCTAATCTCTAATGTAGCTTACCAGTTGGCCTTTTTTAAAAACCAGGTTGAAAACGTTCCTTGCAAAGAAAAGTTATATGAACAATGGCTTGATTGTTTGAACAATACCAAGAAACTGTTTAATTAAAATAAATTATTTTTGTTTGAAATTGAAGTGGGTGTGAAATATTGTCCTTGCCTCTATATTCAGGTACTAATTGGTAGTTGTTAATTCATATAACAGACATGTATCTTGTTAAATCAATTTCTTTTGAGTGGAGAAAATGCTTTTTCAGTTAAACAGTAGGGTGACAATAGCTAGCTAAGCTAGAAAGTCAGTGATGGTGGTTCTTGACAGCTTACAGTGCTGGGTAAATTATGCCCTTTTTTTTTTTTTTTTTTGTGGGACCCTCACCAGTGGCTGGGGCGGCCGGGGAACGAACCGGCGCTGCAGAGACCGCGGGCAGCCTTGCAGCCCAGCGCTCAACCGCTGCGCCACCAGGGGAGGCCCTGCTCTCTTTTTTTAAGGAAAAAAAAAATTTTTTTAGACCCAGTTAGAAATTTAAAAATGTATACTTTATGATATTCTCTGTCCTAGGGAAGATTAAAAAGAAAATAAGAAATGGGCCATCTATAGCTTATAATTATTTAAAATGCAAAATGTGGTATTACTTTCTTTCCTACTAGCTGAAACGTGCTCCAGAAGGCTTCCCTTGCAAAAATAGAACAACTCTTAAGTAGAACAGGCATAAATGAAACATTAGAATGCCCCAAAAAAGAGGGAGAGGAATACATATGTAAAGAACTGATGGTCTGAATCACGTGGAAACACAGTAATGATCTTATCAAAAAAAGCTTACTTAGAAAAGGGTTAGCTTAAGGGGTAGAAAAATCTATGGATCATCACTTACCAGGATAACATCAGAGACACGAATAAGCAAGACCCAACTGAGGCTGATGTACCAGTCAAGAAGCAGACTTGAGTGAGGAAAGGCATGCATGTCTTGAAAGCTATGACGAATGGTTTAGCTTTTGACCTAATAAAGAGGGATAAACATATTATTTATACTGTGTAACCTAATTTGCCTAGTACCTATGGGGAAAGTGACATCTATACACATGAATTTTTCACAGCTGGCCCCTTTGATTCAAACTAAATTTATAAAATGGCCAGATTATACATTTCACTAAATTTTCAAAGTAACTTTCACCCTTTCTTTCAGTCATTAAAAACAAGAATTAAACCCCTGTGCTCTAGAAGATACACCAATATCTAATGTAAGTACTAGACTAATAGAAGAATATATGCTTAATTGCTTCTGTGCTATGTGATCTCCAGTTTCTATATGTGCTCTGTTTGTATGCGCTAGTAATCTCACTCCTTTTGATCTGTGGCCTGGGAAAATATGGTTTCTTTGGGCTTCAAATAAGAAAAAAATAGTTCTTTGACAGATTCACTTAGAAGTATGGCTCCTGAACACTGCATTGGTTCCTTAGAGTTCTATTTACTATTTGCTCTAATATAGCCAATTTCTTAAAAAAAAAAAAATGTTTGCCATGGATTTGGGGCCACAGTTAAATCTTTTCCTAGCAGCTAGTAATTTCTGTCAGTGCTTTCACTGAAAATTGTATAAATATATGCAAAATTTACTTACCTGGAAACTGTCTACAATGTTTATGGTGGAGACTGAACAGCCCTCAGGGAAAAAAATTTTAATATAACGGCTCAACCTGAAACCAAAATTATTGCATTGAGACAAATTTTTAAACTGGTTCCTCAAAGCATTACTATGTTACAGAATGTTAATTTTATGATTTCTTTTTAAGAAAAATTGAAATATTTTCAATAGCCAAATCAACAGTAAAGTAACATACTTTAGGAAGTTTTCCATTAAACACAAAATTCCATTAAAGGTGTCAGGAAAATAAGTGATGGATAATGTACGTTTCCAAATAGGCCCTTACTACTAGTAGTAAAACAAGAGCATCTAACATGGCTCGGGCATTTTCTATGTGCATTCTGACCAGCCTGCAATTCCTCACAATAACTGCATGAGATTAATTTCTACAGTGGCATGGTTAATAGTGGTACAAGGATTCTGGCTCATAACCATACTGTTCTGCTGCCTAATTATTAACACCTTTAAAAGTTGTCTATTCCTGCTTTCCTTTAGTAACTTCTGGTTCTCATGATTAGCCGTTAGTCTAGCCATTGGAAGAGAATAAGACCCATATGGAACCCTAAAAATCACTAGCGCTGTTGAAGAACTATAGTCATGGAAAAATAAAATATCCATAATGACTAGGCAAGCATACCCCATTTCAGTATGTACTTCTATTCCATTTAATAAGCTTAACACTGCAATTTTTATAAATCTTTATTATCGATAAAATTTAATATTTCCATAATTTAGGATAAAGCAAAACCCCTTTCTTGAGTCCAACTTTTTAGGTGATTGTGGTTTCCATGAGTATCACTTGAACATTTGCCTACATGCTTGTGGGAAGCTTCTGTAGTCTTTTCTTGGTAGGAATTCCAGTTTTTCTGAATTCTTCCCTTTCCTTCAGGTATTCCAGTTTACATTCTTCATAAAAGGCTGGATCCTGATAGCTACAATAAGGAAATAAAAATCTCTTAAAGTGAATCACTTTGTAAACCTTTAATATAAGCTTACTTTAATAATATTCAGACATTCATCTTTAGGAGACATAAATTAAAGGACATAAACTATAGTGGTTTTCTGGATAGCCCTGTCCCAGCACTGAGAAGCACAGCTCCTACCCACAGGGAGCCCAGTGTGGTAAACAGCAGACAAGATCGGCAATCCAAGTGAGAACACAACTTCGACAGAAGTATGGCCCAATGCATCACGGAAACATGGGGAAGAGGTGGGGCATGCTTGTGCTGCGATTTGAAGGACCAACCAAAATAGAAATCTAAATAGAAGGACATATGGAAAGGCATACAGATGAGAAAAAACTGATGCATGAAGATTTGCAAGTGCACTGGTACCACTGCAGCCATTTACGCACACAGGAGAAATGTCCTGAGATGCAGCTGGAATGGGTAAGAGTCAAATTGTGGATGATTCATTTATGCCATACTAAGAAAATTGACCCTGAAGGCACTATTAACAGAGCAACTGTAGCATCAGTTGGTGTCTTAGATGAATATGCAGTATGCAGCAAATAAAGCGAGGGAGCAAGGTGAGAGGCAGGACGCCCAATAAATAAGCAATTACAGTAATTCAGACAAGAAATGATGAGTAAGGAGCAGTTATGATGAAAAGGAGGAAATTAATCTGGAGGAGATTTAAGACATGAAATCAATAGGAAATGACCAGTAAGAGTTAGGAGATAAAGAAAATTCTAGATTCTAGGTAACTGTGTACACACACACAATGCACAAGGAGTAGAAGGAGCTGAGTTCTGTTTTGGACCTGAAAAGAGAAGCAGAGAAATGTCATGCCCTCTGGAAGCAATTGCCAAGAATGCAATTCACGCATCCAATGATTTAAAAATGAGAAGAGAATCTAGGAAATCAACAACTTTATATAACAAGTTAAAGAAGGAATGGCTGGGAAGTAGGAAGAGATGTTGGAGAAATGAAAAAGAGCATTATAAGGAGAGTCAGAGAGAGAAGGGAATCTGAAGGAATTTCCAAACTGGTCAAATAAAACTCTTTCTTAGTAACTATTTATTTGCAGCCAATGCCATATTCTTCGTTTCTTGCTGCTTCTCTCTCTTCAAAACAAACAGAAATGGTCTTTTCCCACCCAAACCAGCCACTCTCCCAAGATGGACAAGACTTGTTCTTTCTTCCTTCTGTTTCCAGGGGTCAAGGGATGGAAGACTATTCAAATGATGAATATTCAGATAACAAAAACTAATAAAAAAAAAATTTTAAAAAATCAAGCTAACATTTATTGAATGCCCACTATATGCCAGGCCCTGTAGCAATGTGTTACCCACATAAATATTAACTCGTTTAGAATATACTCTCTAAGTCAACCTGTTCATGAGACGGAATTTGTGAAATCATGTGAAAAAATCATGTATTTTTGCTTGCTGACCTCATATTTTTAATCAGATACAATACTGGCATATAACCTGAAAAAGCTCCTTCATAAACATTTTATGTTGCTATTTTAGAATAATCTTCAGCAAATTGAAATTTCAGATTTAGCCAACAATACTATGGATATGGTGAGGGGAAATACAGACTATATGACAGACATGTAGTGAGCTAACAGCATATTCTTACCTGCGCACATTACACAGACATACACAGAAGTATAGAAATGGAGTAGCTACTTACTAGGCAGTTAGGCATTCTTTCAGTGCAGAATTTTCTTTCCGGCATTTTACTACCATAAGCACTCCAGAGGCCTTGCAACATTTGGTAAAATCTGAAATAAAAGTTGGAAAGGAAAATATGCATTGTGTCAACATAATTAGTAACAACTCTATACGATGTTTATTCTGTTCTAAACATCTACCATCTACATGGTGCTCAGCACAAAAAGAAGCTCCCCAAAAGACACGCACAAGAAGAAAAGGCAGAGTAAGACAAATGTAGTTGACTTTTAGAAATGAGTGGACAGAGGACTCCGAGATAGAGTGAGAAGCTTCACGAAGACTTTGGTGATGGAGAGAATATGCAGGATTCCCAATAGAGTAAAAACAATATATTCTAGAAGAAACACATAAGAACAAGAGGAGAGTTGTTTCCAGACTTGGACATCTGCTGTCCAGTCTGCATGCCTTGTCTTTATGATATCAAAGTACCCCCTTTACTTAAGAGAACTCGGCCATGGTGCCTTCACTTCTGATAACAGGGCTCCACTCCATTCTTGAGTCAACTCTTGCATGCCCCAGAAAATTCAAATGGTTTTCAGACCAAGTCCCAGGGAAGGAGTTTGCTGTTCAAGTTGCACTGGCCCCTCGGGTATCCTGCCTTCTCAGGATCACCAATCCAGAAAAGTCTGGTGAAACCCATCCCCAGCAGGGCCACTTGCTACCCCCATGTGTTCGCTTTGAGTCTGATTAGGTCTTACCTAATCCCTTCCACCGGATGGTGTGCTTTGCTCCCCACCCTTTGCAGCTACTCTCCTGAACTATTCTGGTCCTTCCTCATGAGACAACCGGCTGCTCTAGTTTCAGGCTGTGCCGCCTCCAATGTGCTGTAAGCAGCCCAACCATTTCCATGTCATGTCTAAAATTTTCATTCTTCGCAAACAAGTTGGAATAATGTTTTCTGAATATTCTTAACTTCTTCAAAAAAAAATTAAAAATCTATCTCTTTTTTTGAGCTATGCATTATCCGTTCAGTCACTAAGGAATATGAGTTATAAGGATTACTTAAACCAAGTAGGTAATTTTAGGAGTCTCCATGAAGACACATACTATAATAAGTAACAAAAAGGAAACTAGAAATGATTACAATTTGTTAAATGCACAAAAATCTCATGAACATCCCTACAGCACAGATATTTCTATCTACCTGCAAGATGGCAGCATATTTTGAAGGCTACGTAGTAGATCAGGAAAAAGGACAATAGATGCAGACTTTAATTCAAGTAATTTAATGTGTATAATCACAATAAATTATGGGTGACATATAATTCTCCACTTGAAAGACACACAGGATTAGCTTCCTGTAGTTCACGATGTCAGTATCCACTCTTTGCTCTCTGATTCCTGTATGTGACTGGGTAGTTTTTTTTTTTTTTTTTTTAAGAATTGTTTATTTATTTATACAAGAACCAGGGTACAGGCCAGATGCGCAGGAGGGTGAGAGGATTCACCAGAGACAGAGCGAGGAACAGAACAGGCAGACTGACGAAATATACTGCTGAGGGGAGCAGCGGGCACGACAGGAGAGGTCTGCCGTGCCATGTGAGACCCTCGCTGGCTGGCCGGGATCAAACCGGCGCTGCAGAGGCTGTGGACAGCTTCACAGCGCTACACTCAACTGCCTGTGCCACCAGTGGAGGCCCCTAACTGGGTAGCTTTTTTATTCTAAAATACAAGTTCTGGTTTCTTTCTGTGTAGATAAGCTGGGCACATGGGCAAAATCAGAACAAGGGAATTTTCTTTGTCACTGAAGACCCCTACAACTCAAGAAGGCAAAACAGACTTAGCCAGCTCCCTATGTAGACCCAGAGGGGTGGCCACATGGTGATCAACAAGTCTATTAACGTTCACTATGAAGTGTCTACTTATTCCTGCATGTTAATTTTTCTACTTATAGAATGATAATTGAGATCTGCCCTTGTAGAAGCATGGTTATGATCACAAATAAAAATTAAGGCATGGGCAATCCTCAAAGGAATTATGTACATAAAGTTAATCCAGAAGTGATTAAATTCGCAAAGGGATTAAGAAAATTGCCACATTTGCCAGTGGTGATGAACAAGGGCTGATGCCCCTACACCACCTTACCCTACTTGAACCTCACTAGGCCTCCACCAGACTAGTTCACTCAATGTCTGGAAGAAAGACCATTAGCATTATGAATTCTGTCTAATGAAAATATTCTAGTTTATCAAACTCCAGCCCTTTTATGGAAAACATGAACAATGGTAATTATCAAAAGTCACATTCTGGATTTCATAAACCCAGTACTTTTACATGAGAAATCCGTAACAAAAATGCTTAGGAACTTCATTATTTTAAGATTCATTTTCCCTAAATGAATAAAAATGTCTGTGGTATGAAACTGATGCTTGATAGTACTTATGTGTTCTGATCACAATCAAAGGCACAGTCTATAGATTTTCACACTTGTCCAAATCTCTTCAGGATTAACTGTGACTGGCCTGAAGCCTCAAGCTGTTTGTAACGTTTTTTGTCACTTGTTTAGCAACAAGATTTTAATGAGGATCATTCTTTCATAGCATATTAGCATACATTCAGATGATAGTGATGCTGCTAATACTGCCAACTGACTTCTAAAGTGGTATTTTGAAACAAATCCAATTTAAATTGCTCTTTCAATGTTATGGTAATTTTTTTTTTTTTTAGATTTATTTATTTATTTATTTATTTATACAAGCACTGGGTACAGTCAGAAGCACGGGAGGGTGAGAGAATTCACCAGACCCAGAGCAGGGAGCAGAACAGGCAGACTGACAAATTACACTGCTGAGGGGCACAGTGGGTGCGGCATGAGAGGCCTGCGTGCCATGTGGGACCCTTGCTGGTAGCCGGGGATCGTACTGGAGCTGCAGAAGCCACCGGCAGCTTCGCAGCCCAGCGCTCAAGTGCTGCGCCACAGGGGAGGCACTGTTATGGTAAATGTTAAAGAGCTTACAAACAAATTCTCTCTACAGATGATTTAATTTTAATTACCATTAAAAACTACGAAAATAAATTTTAATTCACTGGTGTATTTTAAGGTAATAAAAATGAATTCAGAAATTAGTAAGACTAGAGAGATTATTAAAAGTTATTCCAACGTTTAAGGAAATATGCTTAAAGACTTTTTAAACTGTGTTTGAGATTCTTTTGTGAAACCTCATTTCTGTGAAAGAAACCACTTAATACCATATTATAAACTACCGGTAAAAATATTCTTTGGGGTCCTCCCTGGTGGCACAAGGGGTTAAGCACCGCACTATGAAGTAATCTGCAGTCTCTGCAGCATGAGTTCGATCCCCTACCAGCCAGGGAGCTACCCACATGGCGCAGCAGACCTCTCCTGACTCGCCTGCTGCTCCCCTCAGCAGTGTATTTCAGTCAATCTGCCTGTTCTGTTCCCCACTCTGTCTCTGGTGAATCCTCTCACCCCCCTACATCTCTGGCCTGTACCCCAGCTCTTGTATGCACAAATAATCTTTAGAAAAAATATTCTTTGTGCATAATAATATTTGGGTCAAGTAAACCCAGGAAAAAGAGATAAACCTTCGTAAGTTTAGTCTAAGATAATGGGCAAAATAACCCTATTATAATTAAGTACAAGTAGTCTATATAATTTCCAGTCTATGTAAGAGAAAACTTCTGGGGAGCCTCTGTATAAAGGTAGTAAGAGAAATAACAGATTAGAATTATTCTAATTTATTTGTTTTATGGAACTTCTGACTATATTTTAACATTGAAATAATACCCCAAAATGAATAATCAAGCTGAGGACAAGAATTTATAGAGTAATAGCTGTATGTAAAAATATGCATATCAGGCTACTTAATATGTTACACTTTTCATTTGATTAATTTCAAACATTATTATTTTTGCAAATGCAGTCACCCACTTACCTAAAGCATTCAAAAAGATGACAATTTTAATACATACCAAATTCAAAAAATAAGTAACTCCAATGGTTGATGTCTGATTAGAACCACTCACTCCGTTTTATATCTCTACTAATTTAGTTTTTTTAAAAGATTTATTTATTCATACATATAAGAACTGGGGTACAGGCCAGCGGTGCGGGGTGGAGGGTGAGAGGATTCACCAGAGACAAACAGAACAGGCAGACTGACTGAAATACACTGCTGAGGGGGACAGTGGGCGAAACAGGAGAGGTCTGCTGTGCCATGTGGGTTGCTTCCTGGCCAAAACAGTAGAGGTCTGCTGTGCCATGGAGGTTGCTTCCTGGTGGGCAGGGGATCAAATTTGTGCTGCAGAGGCTGAGGACAGCTTCACAGTGCTGTGTGTGCTTAACCCCTTGCACCACCAGGGAGGTCCTAATATATAGTTTTCAAGAAAGCCTAGATTTAGGAGTTTTTACACAACTACCGTCATACAGCACTTATTTCTAACTTTCCAACTATTATTTCCTTAAGTAGTAAAGTTTTTAGAAAGTATTTTTCCAACATTACAAAAAGCAGAAGTATATTCAGATAAGAACATAATTTCAAATTTTAACATATAAGTTCTGTGTACTATTTCTGTAACTACAGTGTTATCCTTATAGTTACACCTTTAAATCTGGAACTGTGATTTTATCTAAATGGAAAAATTTTAGTTACTAAAGGTCTTGCAGTTGGGCAGATTTTAAAATTACTCTAAATTGATAATATGTCATCAACCTTACAAACTGAAAATCTTAAGCATAAAACTGTTTCCTTATAAAGAACTAGATAATAGAAACAGAGATGTACTTTAAACATAATGTATAAAGATCATTTGACCCAGTTACTGAATCATAAGAAGGTTTAAAAATATAGAACTGAAAAAGATACAATTTGGGGGCCTAGGTTGGTTGGTGCTGCCTTTTAATAAGATTTTCCCCCATACAAAGGTACCTGCAGTTTTAGATTTACAATATAAATTAAAACTTCGAAGTAACTGATCTCAGAAAAGATTATCTTTTAAGGGAAGACTTGTATAGTTCACAGTGTAATGCTGGGACCCTGAAGACAGTGTCTAAGGGCTGAGCTTTGCAGTAATCATCACCCTCTCTGGA